ATGAAGCTTTAGCTCTGTGATTGACCAGTGGCCCCACTGACTGGCAGGTTTCCTGCTTCTGGTGCACTTAAAAAAACTATTTGTTGTATGTCTTTATATAGTTGCTCTTCAAATTCTTTTTTGGCCTGTGTGACGTTATACCCCATATTCTTCATAGAAATATCATTATGATATGAAAATGGCATGACTAAGATATGTTTTATGCAAGAGAGGTCATATGAGGTATCATTGAAAAGGCTATGATCTACTGAATGTGTTTATCCAATTTGTATGCAGGTATCATTTTTGTATCCAAAGCTAGGAATATTGACCATATATCTGTATTTCAAATGTGCTACTTTGGGTGACACCCACAACTAACCCTTCAGGTACAACAATGAAAAAGCCAGACAGGGCTGGTGGCTCATCAGCAAACACAATGGACTGTGAAAGAGCTTAGTCTTCATGTGGATGCTCCAAACAGCCTGCAAGTAATGGCTGCTACGATCCTGCAGAGACATGTGATTGAGTCATCTGGTACTAGACCCCACTTGGAATGCCAGTGTTTTTCCACTGGAAGGCAAAGGGTTCCCACCATACACAAAAGCTATAAAAGGTAGGGGAGTGACATCATCGTGGTTCTCCTCTGCCTCCCCACCCAAAGATACACTGGGAAAGACCTGGAAACAAGAACTGAACTTGGGGGAGAAGATCTGAACCCAGGCTGGAAGGGTGTCCACCCTGTAAGCGAAAATGCCTGAAGTTTCAAGCTGCAGGCCAGTGCAGCTGGCTTTCAAGAATCTCTGTAATCTGCCTGAGACAACATTTGGGATGAGAAATTACTATCTGTAGCCCAATTTCTTTAGTGTATTAAGTTTATTCTGCATGTTTTGTTTTATTTCTTCAGTAATTTGCTTTGTTCTGTTTGCTATCTCTTATAATCACTTACAATCTATTCTTTCTAGTTAATAAACTTATTTTTGTTTATTCTGAAACCCCATTTGTGCAATTCATAATGGGGGTGGGGGGGTGAAGAGGCTCCACAATGAGGGAGGGGGCAGATTTCACAATATACCTTTGAGTCTGCACTCCAAGGGAGGTGGGCACCTGAGTGCTGGGGCAAATCCCTTAAGATGAGTCTTCCCAGAGCTGATCTCAGTGTCTGTGTCTTTCTGCACCTGGTTGTGTCCCTGCCTGGGTGTGTGCTAGTGGAGGCAGAAGAGCCTGGCTCAGCAAGATGGGGTAAAAGGGGTCCCAGGCTGGCAGAACAGGCAGGCTCAGTGGTATCCCAGTACATCAGGTGGCACCTTAAAGGGGGGAAACCTGTCACAGCCTGACTAATTATACTTTAACATTTGACTTGCCAGAGTTTATGCTCCTTTCTATTTTCCTTACTAGGATGTGCCTTTCAATTTGTAAGAGATGCCTTTTTGCCTCTAATCACCTCTTGCATTCTGCTGTTTATCTATGGTGACTTTTATTTGTCCTCTTACTGTTTTTTATTATTATTATGATTTGGGGTATCCATTTAGTTTGAGCTTCTGTTATGGTGTTTTTAAAGTTTCCATGCAGCTTGCAGACATTTCACTTTTATGACTGTTCCTTTTAATTTCCATTTAACTAGCTTCCTCAGTTTTGTGTAGTTCCCCTTTTTGAAGTTAAATGCTACTATGATGGGTTTCTTTGGCATCCCCCCACACCCATGTAATTACATTGTGGTTGCTATGACTGAGAAGTTCATCTATATTCACCTCTTAGCCCAGATCCTGTGTTCTACTTAGAACTAAATCAAGAATTGTGTCTTCCCTTGTGACTTCTATTAAGGCCCGGCTTGACAAAGCCCTGGCTGGGATGATTTAGTTGGGAATTGGTCCTGCTTTGAGCAGGGGGTTGGACTAGATGACCTCTTGAGGTCCCTTCCAACCCTGATATTCTATGATTCTATGAGTTCCAGAACTAGCTGCTCCAAGAAGCAGTCATTAATGGTTTCTAGAAATTTCACCTCAGCATTCCTTCCTGAGGTGACATGTACCCAGTC